CAGAAATTTATCAATCAATGTAATGCTTTACAAATGGTTACTTTCTTAATAAAGGTTTATTCTCACAATTAATGATACACGGGTATACAGTATAGACATAGAAGAACTAGAATCAGTTGAGTGTTGAATTGTAGTCCATAGTCAGTCGAATTAGTCCATGGTGCTGGCTAGTCCAACCGTCGTAATCCTCTATTAGCATTTTCATTCCATATCGAGTCATTTTCATCCGTCTGTGAAATAAGAATTGGACTATTAAATACTATTACCCCCTATTATAGAGTGCACGTCACATAAGCATGAAACAATTCTTAACATGTATTGCTAAATAAGATTTAGTTATCAACTAACTAAGAATTCAACAAAGCATAAACACAATGCCAATTATTTAAATTCCTTTGTTCTCAATTCTTAGTTAGTTGATAACTAAATCTTATTTAGCACTACATAGTTAAGAATTGTTTCATGCTTATGTGACTTGCACTCTAGCTCCCAATAGTTTAACGTAGAGTGGTTCTCATTAACCCGTGAAACAAAGTGTAATAGTCAAAGTGTAATAAAGTGTAATAGCCAAGAAATATAATAGAAAACAAAAGAGACAAAGTGTAATAAAGCTGTGTAATACGCTAAAATGTATTTCACGGGTTAATGAGAACCACTCTATGACATGCGACAAACTAAATTAGCCAAACACGGTTTTGATTTTGCCTTTTGGTAGCCCAAAAGGTACAAACGCTAAAACTGTGCAACATAAATACCACTAAATTATGCTAATTCTATTGTTTTCTATTCTTTAATTAACACTATTTTGTAGTAAATAGTGGAAAGTGCTGCACAGTCACGTAATGTTTGTACTCTACACCCTAATAGTTACTATTAAACACTGACTAGGTATAGTTATTGTTTTACAGACGAATAAAAATGAAAACTTGTTCCTCGTCTGAACGAGCAAGGAAATATTGTCAATAAAAAAAAATGCCAAGGAAAACTCGCTGATCGTCGAAACAAGAAATACAAATTATGTCACTGATACTTGTCAAAGAGAATTTCTGATACTCAATCAGTCGTTGCTAAAAGCGACGCAGAATATTGAAAATATTGGAAGTTGTGCACAAAGTAAGGTTTCTGTCTATGTATTTCGCTGATCAGCACATAGCATGCAACAAGCGAACCGTAGTATTCAGGGCCTATTCAACTTCTATTTCAATGGTGAGTCAGAAATTCGTTTATCAATGACGAAAAACGTTTCATCTTAATTCTGTAAAATTCTAGCAATAAACAAGCAGAAAAATGTATTCGTATTCTAGTAATAAGAAATGATGCGCAAAGTAAAGTTGATCGGATCTCGTCGAAACAAGAAATACAAATTATGTCACTGATACTTGTCAAAGAGAATTTCTGATGTTATCAGTTTCATGTTAGCAGCTGAACAACGCAAAATATTGAGCATATTAGAAGTTGTGCACAAAAAGTAAGGCCTCTCTCTATGTATTTCGCTGATGGCAGCACATATCATGAAACAAGCGAACCGTAGTATTCAACTTCTATTTCAATGATGAGTCAGAAATTCGTTTTTCATTGACGAAAAACTTTGGATGTTATAAATTCTGTAACATTCTAGTAATAAACAAGCAAAATGTAAGCCAGGATCTGATCAATATGACAAAAAACTGCAAACTTAAGAATTCTTGGAATAAAAAATTGCCAAAGAAAAGTTAATCGGATCGTCGAAACAAACAAAAAAAAAAAATACAAATTATGCCACTGATACTTGTAAAAGAAAATTGCTGGTATCAATCAGCCGTTAGCAAGTAAAACGATGCAGAATTAATATTGAAAATATTTGAAGTTGCGCATGAGGTAAGCTTTCTCTCTATATTTCGCTGATCAGCACATAACATCGAAGAAGTGAACCGTAGTTGAATTCATGATCACCAGATGGGCACGTCATTAGAGCAAGCACTATATGTCTGTTAAATATGATTAAAGTTTTAAATTTCGTTCCTATCTAAGAACTATCATTCAGCAAGTAGTTAGTTTTATTTCACAGACATAAAATGATGCAATAAAACATAGGTAGTACTAACTATGAATAAAAGCAAGAAGAAGTTGATGTATAATGTAACCCAGTGAGTGACTGAAATAGTGGATTTGGTTCTGTTAATAATGACACCTTGAAAGCAGCTTTTTACAATATTAATTATAATCTATATTGCACGTTTTAGAGATTCTAACGCATCTTTTACCTTGAGAGAAAATTACAGCGAACAAGTGGAGCGTATATATTGGTCGTCATATGACAGTCACCTGATGTGCTTGTAATTCAACTTCTATTTTAATAATGACTCAGAATTTAAGTAATACAAGTAGATCCAAAATCGTTTTTCATTGACGAAAATAACGTTGGATTTTAATTCTGTAGCATTCTAGGGATACACAAGCAAAATGTATAAGCCAGGATTTTCAATGTATACCAAAAAACTGCAAAGTTGCGAATTCTTTGAATATGAAAGTAGGGGATTCCCCAAAGTATACAATAAAATTTCATCTCAACCGGAGACGGGCTTTATTCGTCCGTCGATTGCGCTTTTGCTAACATTAGTGTCAAAAAAATGGCAAACTCCAAGTATTCTATTGAACTGAATGATTTTTTTAAAGACATGGCTCAGTTCAATGAAGAACAATTATATATGAAGCAAATGGTGGATAGGGCAGTGTTGATAGCTCCAATGCAGATGAAGATGTTTAAGGAGATGTTTCCGACTAAGACCTCAAATTGTATTGAATCATTGCTTTATCCACTTGAAATGCATGTCTATGGGAGCTCAGTTGAAGGCCTAAGTTGTTACACAATGCATGATATGGGAGACGTTGATTGTATGTTGTGCCCAACAGCAGAGGAAGCAGTGCTTGACGAGTCCATGTTAGAATATGTCGATGGTGAGCCTGCATTTGTTCGTGTTCGTGGTAAAGATCGTCCACTACTGCAGAAATGTTTGCATGGAGAGACAAACTTTGTTGCTACTTCTACTCTCAAGGAAATGGACCCGACAATCTTTGGCTTTGCATGCTTCATTGCAAAGAATATTACGGGGAAATTTCTTGGAGCGCTTTTGCAACACATGCGAAATCTTGAAATACCTAATCTAACGAAAGCTCACGAGAATCCGGATGGTCCTTCCTTTCAGTATGATATGCAGATGGAATTTCATGGACCAAAGCATCAAATATCCGTTGAGGCCGTTGAAGAAACATTCAATTCTATGCCGTTTGATATGATCCAACGATTATTAATTGGTGCTAGTGACGATGTTGCCGACGGTATAAATCAATTACGGGATACGTGCAAGAAGTTCTTAATTTCGACAATGAAAGAAAATCCCACTAATGAGGAACTATTGCAAGCAACTGGTCCCAAATGGTTGAGTGATCTATATAAGCTGTGTGAGGTGAATCTAGAAGACATCGATAACCTTGAAGACTATCTCAAGCCCATTTCCTCAGTGATTTTCAAGTATTTACAAGCTTATCAACCGGCTTGGGACATGCAAAAGCAAGAGAACGACCATTTGGAGAAACCAGTGAAAAGGGGAATAGATTTCGTGCCTTCCTTCAAAGTCAAAGGATGGCCTCAAGTGGCACAGGGCTGGTTTGAGCGTGATCGAAAATGGCCAAGTTTTGAAGCCTTATCAAATGTTATGAAAAGTGGCTTTCACTTGGTGTTCAAGTCACCACGACATAGCAACACAACACCACATCTCGATTTTCGTTTGTCCTTCTCACACGCTGAGCTACTTTTGAGTAAGGAACTGAATGACATACAACGAGAGTGCTATAGATGTCTCAAGTTATTCTACAAGGCCTTGAATCAAAACAAAGAACCCAAGATAATCTCGTCGTACGTTCTCAAGACAACACTATTATGGACGGTTGAGAATACAGGCGTGGAAGAATGGAATGAGAATAACCGCGCATCGTGCATGATGATGCTACTGGAGAAACTGCACCACAGCCTTGAGACGAAGTTTCTTCCACATTATTTCATCCCAGAGTTTAATCTACTCGAAGAAGCTGTCATCGAAGATCCTCAAAGGTTGCAAAACCTGGCAGATGAACTCCGGGAAATTTGCGACAATCCAATAGAATCGTACCAAGAGATGCTGAAAGCAGCTGAAATAGAGTCATCATCAAGTGACGAATTCAAAGCGAAATCACAATCTCCGCCTGAAGACCCGGTTAAGCAAAGTGGGACTTTTCAATCCAAAGTGATGTCTAAAGAAGAGTTTGAAGAACTTTATTCTGTCGTCTTAGAAGAAATAGTTTTTTGGGTTGAAGTTGGCCCATACATGACTTGCTTTGAAAATCCCACAATGGAAAGTATCGTTACCTTTTTGTATGATGAAGTCTGTAGCAAGAAGGCTCGCCTTGATTTGCATGAACTCTCTTCCTCTGATGATGAAAAATCCTGCGAATATTCTGAATCCTCTAAAGTTGATAATTCTATATGTCAGGTTACTGAAGATCCAGTTGCAATTGCAGGTTTTGATTCCTCACTGTTCTCTAAATCGTCTGAGCAACCCTTAATTGAACATTCTAAAGATAATGATTCGAAATGTAAGGCGATTGACGATCAACTCTGTAAAAACCATGCACTAGATTCGGATTCCTCAGAGTCCTCTGATTCATCTGAAGTTGACGATATGTTATCTGAGGTGATGGAAGAAAATCTACCGGATTTAGAAATGGCATATTTCTATTTTCATTGGCTGACATATAAAAGCCAATGTGACCCTAGAGAGAGAATGCTGTGGGTGTTTAATACTGTGCTTGAATTGGATGAATATATGCAAAATGAAGAGCACGATTCATTTGAGTCCATGATGAATAGACTGAGTACTCATCCAATTTTTGGGGATACAATTCACGCAATGTTAGATACAATGTTAGATCTTTTAGGTAAAAAATCCACAAATGCCAGTGAAGATGATATGCCGCTAAACTGACAGATTTTGACTGTCATACAAATAAAAGTAATAAAGCAAGGAAGTGAATGCTAAAAGCTAAGAGTATTCAATAATGTATTACCCAGACCTCTTCTGAGATAGAAGTTTGTATGCATTGTGGTCTAGATTTGGTACAAACATCTTTTGATCCTTTTAACGTTGTTTGTTTGGCAGTCTGATTTTTGTACATTTCACAGTTGTAACAAGCGCTTTAAGAGCTCATGCATTTAGGCCTTGGTCCTACGAGTCAGGCTCCTCTTGCATGTTGTCTTTGTAATTTTAGTAGTTTATGGAAAGAAGTTTATACAAGAATTGTTTGCGAAGCCCACAGTTATATTTGTACTGAAGCTAGACCAAAATGCTCCACGGTTTTTGTATTTCAGGAAAAGTCTAATTTATTTAGTATAAAATATGCTTGCTATAAGACAGTTACATGGAGTCACATGAAATGTTTTAATCTGGTTTTGAGATTTAGATCCACCTATCAAATAGACAAAATCACTCAAGCGAAATATTATATCATGGCATATTTGTCTTTTAATATTAATTACTTTCATTAATTAATAATGCGAATTCTTGAGATCTCTACTAAAATAGGTATACAAGTGTTAGCCTTTAATATGTTGATCCCTGACCTGGGAATGAACGTCCTAACAGCTGCAAGACTAGGAGACTAAATGAATTATATGTATGAATTATAAAAGTAATCGAGCAAAATAAATTTGAATGATTAGTGATAATAATTGTACGATGGGAAACAAAGGAATTCTCACAGTACGTACAGTACATAGCATAAAATTATTTAGTCTCTAGTCTAGTTTGCAAGCAATAACAGTAACTTGTGCATTTTTAAATAATCCAGCTCGGGCAAAAAAAAAATACTGAATGAATGTACATCTAAACTAACGATGTGATCATTGGTTAAAGTTTTACCTTTTTTAGCTTTAAAAAATGTAGATTTTATTTTTACTTATTTAGCCTAGCTCAAACATTCTGCACTATTAAAATAAGTATCAGCGACCTTATTCTTCGTTTTCAAGTTACGACACAGCGTCCATCTAGAAGGAACTTCAACAAAGGTTAAAGGTTTCTCATTAGTATCTATTGTTTGTTCATCCAACATGTCCACCAGTCTTTTATCTTTTGAATGTCATGGGAATGGTTGAAAACGATCAATATGTAGATGGTGTGAATTTTTTAAAATGACTCTTTGTCGATTTTTTAAATATTGTTTAAAATTATAGTGTAAATGTCACTTTTTTGATCTACGTTAGTAATAATATTCATTTGTGAAAATCTGCTGATTATAAAGTACATTTAGTGTTATTGAAGCGAATAAAACGATTATAATAGATATTGTCAATGTGTAATCATTAGAATCAGTACATTACTTACTGCCATCATTACTTACTGCCAACATTACAAAATAGATTTTGCAAGTGCAATTTCCTTGTTATTTTAGCAAAATTTCGAGGTTAAACTGAGTTAGGGTCGCAAAAAAAATTAAAAAAAATGACAGTCACTGTATAATCTACTCCAAACAGTAAAACAGGCGCATTAGATCATATCCACACGCAAATTTGTACCATATTCATTGTAAGTAACAAAATTATTATCATTATTAATCTAGTGTTCTAATCTATTACACTCAAAAATGTTATTATTTTAAACTTTGTTGAATATTTTTTGAAATACTTTATATGCTTGTACATTTAGTGATCAGTAATCAAAATAAAAACATGTAATTTTACTCTTTTACAATGCTAATCAATAATTCTATTGCTTCTTCTACACCAAATTGAGATAAAATCTTCCTAAACTGTTCTGGAGTTGAACTGACTACRTCATCAGCCCCTTCAACCTCGACAGGACTACAAACAAAGGCGTCTATTTGTGGCACAACATTACCAAACTTGTCAATATGAATCTCCCAACAAACTGTGAAATGYAGACCATTTCTTTCTACATTACGTAGTTCCATAAAATTACTCCATTTTGGTCCATTCAGAAAGCAGACATACTCTGGATATTTTGTGTTAAAGTGATGAAATGTTTTATATCTGGAACTGTAATATTGTGAATACTGCGACAGCACTTGTAACACTGTTCCAAGAGATCTTTCTTGCTCAGCATTAGATATAAATATTTCTAGTTCATCTTTTGCTAAAGGGTCATCAATCTTGACCTGTAGCTTTGATATTTTGGCAGAAATTTGACATTGCTCTTTGGG